ATCGTATCGGAAATCTCGAACCCCAAGGTACCGTTCGTTGTCATGTCTTCCGAAAGTCGCTTTGATGATGGGTGTTCTTCCGGTGATGACCTGGAGTATTATGAGCGGGGAATGCCACCCCGGCCTCCCCGTTATAGCCTTAACTTCTCATGCGTCCGGCGTCAAGTTCAACGCCTGACGAACGCTGACAAGCGACTGATCAGTCAATGGTTTTATCCCCCAAGGACCTACGACGATCGGCGTCTACGAAACCCCATGCGCCACCTGCCCGGCTATGTGGTGGTCCACCTAGATTCGGTGATAGCCGGGCTGAACTTCCCCCTGCACAGCTTCCACTTGGAACTTTTCAGGGCCCTTGAGATTGTTCCTGCGCAGCTCGTCCCCGCCGCTTATCGGATAATCGCTGGCTTCATCATTAGATGCCACAGCGTCGGTGTGACCCCCACCGTGGACCTGCTGCACCACTTCTTTCGTCTGTCCACCTTCGGACATACAGGGTATTTGACCCTGACTGCCCGTCCGTCCATGGTTCTGTTCTCGAACAACGCTGGGAACCCAGACGGTTGGGAAGAGCGCTTCTTCCTGGCCGGAGTAGGCTCACCGATGCCATTCTCTGATCGGTGGAATGCCTACCCTGTGAAGACGATCCCGCCGCCCATGACGGACGAGGAGCTTGGATATGCCAAGCGCATAGCCGGACTTGGCATCCAGAACCTCCGGTTGCTGGTGGCCGAGCCCTTCAAAGCTCAGGCTGGATTAGGTGCGTCCGTTTGTACTTGTATTGCTTTAACCTCTCTTCGCTGTTATGGTTCTGAACGTCTTGATTCCCTCTATGCAGGAGTTTTTCCACCCACGTCCATCATGCGCCGAGATAATACCGCTCCGTCTGCCGCCGGTCGTGGGCACAAGGGGCATGACAAGCCCGGGAAGCCGCTCGTCCCCAAGGTTGAAACTCGGGTGACCAGGGCCCGGACTGAGGATGATTTGGGCGCTGGCGTCTCCAAGAGGCCGCGCGTCGAGGGTACAGCCTCCAAGGCCATCATAGTAGCCGACGACTCTGATGGTGAGCCCGGGAGCCCCCTTAAGCGGAAGCCTGCCTCTCGGGGCAAGTCCCGTCCTTCTCCCCCACGAACTTCTGATGTTCGTCGTCTCCGGGACGATGATGCCCAGGTCGCTAAGGGTTCTGACGATGCTCGTCCTCCTTCGCCCCCAAAAGCCAATGGGTCCTCCCTTGGTTTGATTGAGTTCTCCGGGGTTGGTCCACGCAAGGAGTCAATGATGCTCTTTGGTCAAACAGCATCCTCTATATGGTGCGGCCTGAATCTCAAGGTCCCCCAGGACTTCGCTGCTCAGGAGGCACCCGAAGACCTTCTGGAGTGTGGTCAGAGCACTTTGGATAAAGCCGGGCTCTACTTCCACAGGGCCCGGATGGCCTTCGAGCACCAAGGCAGGGAAATGGCCCGGGTCCGGGCCGAAAGCGACGCCCTTCTGAGGAATGCAAAAGGCAGGGCCGGCACTCTTCAAGAGAAAGCCGATGCCTACGATAAGCTCGTCCAGGAGAATGCCTCTCAGAAGGAGCTCCTCAAGAAGCAGGAGGCCGAGCTCGTGGATCTTCGCAGCCGGATGTGGGCCGTGGAGCAGGCCAAGGTGGAACTCCGCCAGACGGGCGTGGACAATCATGTCCCTATTTATGAGGCCGATGTTGCCAAGATCAAGGAGTCTGGTTCCATTGCCTTTCAGAAATCCAAGGCTTATACTGGCGCCATCCACACCATGGCTATGAAGTTCCTCCCGCGGCTCGTTGGCGAGTTCCTGGCCACCTGCCCGGATGCCTACCAGGATGGGGTTAAATTGCTCCAGGCCACCCCCACCGGACGTCGTTTCCTTGACGATCTCGCCGATGACACCTACCGCAAAGGTATGGTTGGGCTAGTAGCGGAGAATCTCCCGACGTTCGAGCGTCACTTTGGGGCTCCCTTCGATCCGGAGGCGGCTGGTTTTGACGTCTTGATGGCAGACGCTCATGCAGGGGCCCTTGAGCTGCTGAAGGAGCAAGAGGAAGCCGCTAAAAGTGACAAGTCCAAGCAGGCCCCTTCCCAAGTTCCAGCTCCGGACGCCGATCGGCTGTGATTCTCCGTTCATTATCTTGTACTTGTACAATTTTTCATTTTTTGTATTGTACCCTCATACATTGTAATTTTCCGGCCAATAGTGCCGAGGAATAAAAATCATTCTTTGCTCCATGCTCGTCTGGCATTTTTTTTTTTTTTTTTTTTTGGAGTCTTTTAGTCTTCGTTCGTCCCTGGTCCTTGGTCCTACCGGCGTCCCTACCTCGAGGAGACGTTCGGTATCCGCAGACATCGCAAGGAAGAACAGGTTTATCTACATCGAGATTCCCCCCTTTTTTCGTTCGTCCGTGGTCCTTTTAGCCTTACCGGCGTCTCTTGCTTCGAAGAGGACGTTCGGTACCTAAGGAACTCGCAGGGACGAACAGGTTTACCCTCACGGGTTCCCGTCTTCGTTATCCCACGTCCATCGATCCATGGTCATTTGTGGGATAAGCAGGTTTATCTTGGCAGGCTCCCTTGGTTCGTCTAGCCCCCTCCACGTCTCTACTAATCTCTACATCGAGAGGTGTTCGCCTTCGGCGGTGGGGGAAGATCTGGCACACCCGGGCAAGATTCCCTTCCGTGTAGGAGCTTCTCTCCTCTTCTCCCCATCTCTTTTCTTTTTTTTTTTTTTTTTTTTTTTTTTTTTTTTAAGGGAGGTAATCTTCGTTCGTCCTTGGTCCTTGGTCCTACCGGCGTCCCTACTTGAGGGGACGTTCGGCATCCGCAGACATCACAAGGAGGAACAGGTGTATCTGCATCGAGATTCCCTGTGCTTCGTTCGTCCTTGGTCCTTGGTCCTACCGGCGTCCCTACTTCGAGGAGACGTTCGGTATCCGCAGACATCAAAAGGAGGAACAGGTGTATCTGCATCGAGATTCCCTTCTTTAGCCGTCGTTGGCAAGAAAACAGAAGTGATGTAAAAAACAGGGGGCCTTTATCATTGACGACGTCCGGTCATTTTACATGGGAGTGGAAATACAACAAGGACATCAGCCTCTAACTATTGATAGAACTTCTTCAGGTGTTCTACGTTCCACATCCCGGCATGGTCCCCCCTCCAGGGTGTGGAGGAGGAACGTCCCCTGGTTATATCTTCTGATGACCCGGTAAGGCCCTTCCCAGTTCCTCGCCATCTTGCCGTCCTCGAGCGGCTTGCTCTTCTCTCTTTTCCTGAGTACGAGGTCCCCGGCCTCTATTTCGCGGAATTTCACGGCTTTGTTGAAGTATCTCTGGGTGGCCCGGTGATATTCTTCCATGCGACGAGCCGCTAGGTCCCTCCGTTCCTCAATGAAATGGAGCTCCGCTCGTAGGTTGGTCTCGTTGTCCTCCGGCTGGAAGTGCTTGGTGCGGTGTGTAGGTACCAATACTTCCGTCGGTACCTTAGCTTGGAACCCGTAAGCTAAGGCGAAAGGGGTCTCCCCAGTCGCCGTTCTGGGCGTTGTCCTATATGTCCACAAGACATAATTCAGCTGTTCCGGCCAGGTAGAGGCGTAGTCTTCTAACTTCTTTTTGATTCCGTCCATGATGGTCCGGTTCATGTTCTCCACTTGGCCGTTGGCTTGCGGGTACGCCACCGAGGCCTTAGAGTGCCTGATGCCCCACTTTGCCAAATATGCCTCGAAGCCTCTGCCGACGAACTGCCGGCCGTTGTCAGTGATGATCTGCTCTGGGATCCCGAAACGGCAGATGATGCTCTGCCAGACGAACTTCTGGCATTGGAACTCAGTAATGGAGGCCAATGGTTCGGCCTCGACCCACTTCGTGAAATAATCAACTGCCACGATGACGAACTTCCTTCCTCCAGCAGCCGTGGGCAGAGGACCCAGCAGGTCTATGCCCCACCTAGCAAAAGGTAGTGCGATGGTCATCGGGGTATAGAAACTCGCTGGGCGGCCAGGGACAGGTGCATACTGCTGGCATACTGCACATTTTCGGGTGTGATTGAAGCAATCTTGCTGTATGGTCGGCCAGTAATAACCTTGCAGGATGATTTTCCTGGCCAAGGTCCGGGGGCCCTGGTGGCTGGAGCAGATCCCTTCATGTATTTCCTCGATTACCGCCGCTGCCAGGCTCGGCGGGAGGCATCTGAGGTAGGGTCCGCCGAACGTCTTCTTGTAGAGCTGTCCGTCTATAAGTTCAAAGTTAGGGGCACGCCTCTTTATCCATGCGGCTCTTCCTGTACTACCATCACCTTCGGGCTCAGGGAGTGTTCCATCTCTGAGATAATCTGCTATCTCCTTTGCCCAGTTAGGTTCGGCAACGGAGATAACCTCCACCTGGATGACGTCCGTCGCCGGTGTTAGGAACACCTCCTGCCTAACGAAGCCTCTGATGTGCCGGGGGATGCTTGATGCCGGATCATCGGTTGGGGGGGTTGCTCAGTTTCGACAGTATGTCCGCCTCTGCATTCTCCACCCGCGATACCTGCTCAAGCACCACCTGCTCAAATTGTGCGGTCTGTTCCTCCGCCAGCTCTTTGTAGACTTTCATTCTCTCTTCCCTGGTTTCTGCCGTGCCGTTCATCTGGGTTACCACCAGCTGGCTGTCCATTCTCACCTTCAGACGAGCCGCTCCGAGGGCTTTCGCGCATTTCAGTCCTGCGATAAGCGCCTCGTATTCAGCCTCGTTGTTGGTGACCCTGAACTCGAATTTCATAGAGTAGTAGGCCTTGAAACCTTCGGGGGAAGTGATCACCGCTCCCCCGCCACAGCCCCGCGCACTCGAGGCCCCATCGGTGTACATCTCCCACCAATTATCGAAGTTGTTGCTGTCATGGGTTTCGTCCTTGGTGCGCGCGGTGCATTCTGCAATGAAGTCCGCCAGTGCCTGTCCCTTGATCGTCGGCCTTGGTTTGAAGTCTACGTCATACTGGCCGATCATCAGGGACAACTTGGTTATCCTCCCGCTCGCCATTGGATTCCTGAGGATGGTGGCGAGGGGTTGCGTTGTGTAGACGGTCACCGGGTGTGCTTGGAAATACGGCGCCAGGCGCTTGATGGATGCAATCAAGGCAAGGATCGTCTTTTCCATCAGTGTGTATCTCGTTTCGGGGCCGTTCAGCGCCTTACTCACAAAGTATATCGGCCGCTGAACGCCTTCAGATTCCTTCAATAGCACGGCACTTACAGCCAGGTCGGCCACTGCCAGATACATGTACAATCTCTCCCCGGGATCCGCTTTGGTGAGGATGAGCGGGGAGGAGAGATACACCTTGAAATCTTCGAAGGCAGCCTGACACTCCGGGGTCCATTCAAAGGGATTGGCCTTCTTCATGATCTGGAAAAAGGGAATCGCCTTATCGGCCAGTTTGGACAAGAACCTGCTCAGGGCCGCCAGACGCCCGGTGAGTCGCTGCACATCCTTTAGGCTCTTCGGGGCCTCCATGTCCATAATTGCCTTCACTTTCTCCGGGTTAGGCTCGATCCCCCCGCTCGCTCATCATGTAGCCGAGGAACTTGCCACCCCGGACGGCGAAGGCACATTTCTTCGGATTGAGCCTCATGCTGGCCCTCTCCATGATGCCGAAGACCCTCTCCATGTCCTGGACATGGTCCTCCTTTCTCTTGCTCTTGATCAGGATGTCATCCACGTAAGCTTCCATTGTCTTCCCAAGTACGTCTTTGAACAACATCCCAATCATCCTTTGAAAAGTAGCCATGGCGTTCCTCAGGCCGAACGGCATGACGATGTAGCAATACACGCCGTCCGCCGTGACGAACGCCGTTTTCTCGGCATCATCGGGGTGCATGAACACCTGATGGTAGCCCCTGAATGCGTCCATGAAACTGAGCAGCTCACAGCCTGCCGTTTCATCCACCAGCAAGTCGATCCTCGGAACGGGGTAAGGATCCATCGGACAAGCTTTGTTTAGGTCCGAATAATCGACGCACATCCGCCAAGTGTCGCCCTTCGGGGCTAGTACCACGTTGGCCAGCCACTCCACGTGGATGACCGGCCGGATGTGTTTAATGCTGAGGAGAGTTGCCGTCTCCTTCCTGATGAAATCGCGTCGGTCGGCCGCCATGTATCTTTTCTTTTGCTGTACAGGCTTGGCGTCCGGCCGCACGGCGAGTCTGTGGCATATGAGGTTGGGGTCGATGCCCGGCATGTCCTCCGGTCCTCTGGCGAACAAGACTCGGAATCTCCGCAGGACAGCTATGACCCCCGCCCTGATCTCCGGCTCTAGATCTGCACCGATGGACACCTTCCTGTCCGTCGGGTCGTCGAGCTCGATTTCCTCCAGCAGAGTTGCTGGTTCCAGATGAGCATCCAAGTCGGCCTGTTTGGCCCTCTCAGAGATGCTGTTGACCCGAGCCTCCCGCTCGTTGAGCTTCTCCATTGCCTTCGTGTAGCAGGCCCTGGCCATATGCGGGTCCGTACGTGCCACTCCCACTCCAGTGTCGGTGGGGAATTTGATGCATGAGTGCCGTACGGAGCACATGGCCTCCAAGTCTTCCAAGCCGGGTCGGCCCAAAATGGCGTTGTGGGCGCATTTTAGGCGGACCACGACGAACGTCATGCTGATTCGGGCCGTATGAGGACCGTCGCCGATTTCTACTGGCAAGGCGATGGTGCCCTCGGCGTCGATGCAATCCCCGGTGAAGCCGGACAGCGGGGTGCGTAGGGGATGCAGCATGTCCTTCCTGAGCTTCATCCCTTCGAAAGCCTCCCAGTAGAGGACGTTCACACTGCTCCCGGTGTCAACAAGGACGCGCCGGACGATGGCATCGTTCACGTCCATGCTGATCACCAGCTCGTCCCTGTGCGGTGCTGGTGACATTGGCAGATCAGCGGGGCCGAAGGTAATTGCCTCGATCTTATTGCGCTTGGTGGGGGGTGCTGATACGGAACCCACATACAGTGATCTCTCAAATTTTTTCCGTTCGGCGGGTGTATCTCCTGTCTCAGCGCCCCCGAAGATCACCTTGATCTCCAACTTCTTCTTCTTGCCCTTTGGGCCGAGGGATCCCTCCGGACGTTTATCTGCACTCCGATAATCCACGTCCTGAGGTTCTGCCTCGCGCCGGTCGTCGCGGCGCCATGTCTTGTGCCTTGGGGTCGGCTTCTGCTGACTGTTTTTGTTCAGCAGCTGGGTGAATTCGCCCAAGTACCCCTGACGGATCAGCTCGTCGATCGCTTTCTTTAACTGGCTGCAGTTGTCCGTCAGGTGGCCGATCCTCTGATGGTACTCACAGTAGGCCGATTGGTCAAGCCCCATATACTTCTTCATATCTTGAGGTTCCGTCAGGAGGCCCTTGTCCTTGATGGCCTCGAAGATCTGGCTCACTGGATATGCCAATGGTATATAGCGGTCGTCCGGCCGCGTCTGGTTGTCTCCGGGGGGAGCCTTCCATGGGATCATCGCCCCGTCCAACCTCTTCTTTTTGTTTGGGGGTGAGGGCCCGGGTCCCGGTTTGAGTCCGAGCCTGTCCGCCATCTTCCTAGGCTGGGTTGCGGGAACTCCGTCCCGCTGCCTGATCTCCTCCTCAATGGAGGCATATTTTTGTGCCCGAGCCAAAACCTCGGTGTAGCTGGTGCCGGGATTCCTCCTCAGGTCCTGGTACAGATCCCCTGTGGCCAGCGCACTGGTGAACATGTTGGTGGCCAGACGTTCGTCCAGATCGTCGACCTGCAGTACCTCGTCCCTCCACCTCACCAGGAACTTAGCCAGCGGTTCGTCCCGCCCTTGCTTGATGTGGGCGAGTGCCGTGACATCCTTCCTGGGGGTGGTGCTGGCAGCAAACTGTGCCATGAACTGCCGGGAAAGCTGTTCGTATGAATCAATGGTGCCTGGCCTCAACTGGCCGAACCATTCCTGAGCTGGCCCCCTGAGGGTGCTGAAGAACAACCTGCAGATGGCCTCGTCCGATGCTCCCAGCATGGACAGGTTCCCTTGGTAGCTTATCAGATGGGCCTTAGGATCACCAGCCCCATTATACACCAAGTTCCCCGGGGGCCTGCAATCCCGGGGAATCTCGACGCTCATCACCCGTGGAGTAAAAGGTGATGTGAGAGAGAAGGAGGGTGTGGCCGAGCCGGCGTCCGCCCGCCTGTTCATCTCGGCTATCTGCCTCTCCATGGCTTCCAGCCGTGCGTCCTGTGCGGCCCTTCCGGGGGACATAGGGGGCGCGGCTTCGGGGGTGGCGTTCTGCTGAGCGGCCACAACATCGTGCGGCCGCCTGAAGATCTGCGCACCTCGCCGTTGGAAACGTCGTCCAACGGTGTTGACCCTTGGGGTCTCGTCTCCCCGCGGAATCAGGCGAGGAACTGATGGTGTGAGAGCCCTGGATGCAGCGATGCTAACCCTGGTCCGCCCTCCCGTTTCACGGGAGCCTGAACCCCCACCTAGCCGCTCGTGGACGGAGGGCCGGTGGTCGCTGGAGCCTGTCGTATCATCGTACGACTGCATGCGGCGTATGGGAGAGAGGGGTGTTCGCTGGGTGCTTGCAGAGTACACCCGATCTCGGGCCTCCCGTTCATCTGCCAAGCGACGCATGGTATCTGCGAGTTCCCGCATGAGGTGGGGATCCTGCCTGGCCTCCAGGGGAATGAGGTCAGTGATGCCCCCGTTTCCTCCGGAGGTCCATATAGTAGCGGATAGTCCCGAGTTCTGGCCGCGGTTCCGGCGGCTCGACTCCAGACGCTCGGAGAGATCACGCTGGTTGTTGCTTCCTGACATCGTATTTGCTGTAGGTAGACTTAGCAGCTGTTTAGGAGAGTTTCTGGAAACTTTTTGCTCAGTTTCCCACAGACGGCGCCAGTGTTGAGGTTTATTCCTTCAACCCGTGGACCCAACACGTAAGCCCAAAGGTTTCGAGTGGAGTGAGTGTATGAATGTCTAGCCCAACAACTATCAGATGGATCAGGAGACAAAAGTAATAGCAGGCAATGTAAATAGGTATTATTAACTTCGTAATAACTCCCCTAAATACAACCTACTTGCTAAAAGGGCACGTCGGCCGTTCGTCTTACAAGGCAGTTAGAAATGCTCAAGTAAGAATGCTGGAGCTAGTATGCTAAGAATAGTAAGTTGCCAACCCTTTACAATGAAATAAATGCTTCTATTTATACCCGCCAATGGGCAGGTGGCTGTACTGACGTGGCAGCCTGTGGACCGCTGGTGTCCCAACTACCAAATCTTTAGCATTAAATGCACTTCCCGCCAGAATCTAGGTTTCCCGCCGGATCAGTGGGGACGTTCGTCCACCCGGGAAGTGAGTTGGATTGCTCCAAGTGACCCTTGAGGGATATTGGCTGTTCGTCTCCTGGCCTTGATAGATACTCACCATGTGCACTGGGTTTTCTCCGATGACTACAGGCTTGCTCTGGGGACGTTCGTCGCCATCCCTGGTGGCCCGTGGCTCTGCTCCTTGTCCCTGCATAGACGTTCGTCGGAATGAGCTGCTGGGCCTGAGTCCTCCAACACCAGACGTTCGTCCATCCTTAAAGAACATGGGCCTGTGGGCTGGCCTAGTTTCTAGCTGGACGCTCGTCTGGCAAAATGGGTTAGTGGGCCGGACCTCGGCTTGGGCCCTTAACCCAACACATGTATTACACACCCCGCGCAATACTTTATTCATGTAGGGCTTACACACCCCGCGTAATACTTTATTCAAATAGGGCTTACACACCCCCGCGTAATACTTTATTCAAGTAGGGCTTACACACCCCGCGTAATATCCATTATTCATTTAGGGCTTACACATCCCGTATACATTTCATTCGTTTAGGGCTTACACATCCCGTATAATCTTAGTTCGTGTAGGGCTTACACACCCCTAATATAACTCCCAACGTTCATACCTTTATTTGACCGTGGCCTCGACCACCTCAATACTCTTTGTATTCACGTAATCATAATTTATCAACCTCGGGCTAGTCTTCATCAAGGCTCCCCGGGCTGCCTTCATATAGTCTAGGTAGACTTCACCATTTCCTTTGAGCGTGACCGTAGTCCATCACTCATTCTAAGTCATGCCTATCTTATTCAATACACACACAATTAATCCCTACAGATTGATATCACTTTGATCATATCAATGACTCAAGTATTCCTTACTTCACATCTAATCACTCTGCCTATCCACGTACGTATCCATATATCCCTTTTAAGATCTTGTGGGATCACACATTTATCAACATTTGTCTATATCATTCTAATCCTCAATATCAATTCAATAATTAATATATTTCAAGGATTTCTCTCCTCATGCATAATACCTTTACTTATTCACCTTTGTAATATCATATATCAATTTATATGACCACATAGCAACAAATTTATTCACATTGAACTATATCATTTAATTCCATCAAAAATCATAATTTGATTACTTAGGTAATCTCATGCTCAACTCACGAGTTATAGACAATATAGTCAGCCATCCTCACCTTAAATATGTTCAGCAAGGTTGCCTATTCAAGCCCTGTCGTTTAACCTTCGATCGGGAATGATCTGAAACAAGCTTGGCTGGCAGAGGGCAAAAACCGCCCGGCTTTTGCAAAAGCTGTCCGGCTTTCGGGCCCTACAGCACGAAAATATCACCTAGAAGTGGCGGTTTCCGGCGATTTCGATTCCTATCGATTCAACAACTCTTCTAAGTTAATTACCAAAACTTTATATCATATTTCTACACTTTTAAACGTGTAGAACACCCTCATAAATCCAACATATGATTTCTTAAAAATCATATTAACTAAATATAGTATATAACTAGTTTGAGCGGGAATAGCATTCGGTTACCTCAAATCGAGCTTTCTTCTTCCCGGAACCCCTTTCTTTCTTCCTCCTTGCTCCAAGAACGTGTGAATCTCCTTGTGAGCTCCCCCCCCCCTCTCTAAGTGGCGTAGGATGCTCCTCACAATAAGATGAGGATAGCCTATATATCCCTCATCCTTTCTATAATTAGAAAGTTTGGGCTAAAATGGGTTGGGTTGTGTAATGGGCTGCTCCTTTTAATTTTATCCGACCCGAAGCTATTTATAAATTAATCCTCCCGTTTATTATGGGTTACATTTTATATGGGATATCCCAAATTAAAGTGTAGGGAACCATTCACCCTTATACTTGCTCGGCCCGAGTAATTGTATATTACTTACTTCTTATCCTTGGGCTTTTTATTTAATTTATCCTGGTCCAAGAATATATATTAGTTAGTCCCTCCCCATGCTTGGGGTCCGACCCACAATTTAATTAATCAGTATTAATTTAATCAATTAATTATTTCTAGTATGATTAATATACTTGTAACTAGTTTTCAAAGTGAATATACATCCATGACTTTAACTAATTATCCTCATCGAAATTAGTATTTGTACTTTCACTTAGTTTTTAATAT